AAAAAAAAAAAACTTATTTTCATATTTTATTTTTTATTTTTTATTTGGTGAAGATTTTTGATGTGACCCTAAAGCAAAAGTTGTTCAGTTTATTTTTCCACATAACATAGTGTTTTTACGGAATTTTTGGACGATGTTCGTTTTTTTCCCCCAACGGGATTCAACAGGGATTCAACGGGATTCAACGGGGATTCAATGGGGATTCAACTGGGATTCAATTGGGATTCAACGGGGATTCAACGGGGATTCAACAGGATTCAACAGGATGATTTTTTTTTTGGTTCGCGTGCGTCGTGTGTCGTGTCTGAGGCCCAATGCACCCTCCCCATTGAACAATATTCAACGGGGAGGGTCCGTTGTACCATTCAACGGGAATTCAACGGGGCCCCGGGGGCTATTCAACGGGTACAACGGGGTTGAAACTTCCCCGTTGCCCGTTGAATAGACACATAGCGAATCAGGAACCTGCAGAAACACCAAACTCAATAAGTCGGTTATCGCGGAAACAATTAGTGTTGTCCATACCCAGACAGACACGATACGACTTGCTTTCCCTCCGACCTCTTCTTTTACAAGGTTTTTTCCTTTTATAGTTTCCATGCAGAGTGTTGAGACAAGGGCAGAAGCGATGGATTAAGGAAGCCCCTGAGTGTCGCAAGTCCGAATTCAGAGGGAAGATCAAAGGCATAGCAAAATAAGACTCCCATCCTTTTCTTTCTAACCAGCGTTTAAGTTTATGGTTCCGTCCTTTTTTATCGCACTTCACTAATCTGACATGTTCCTTCCAACCGTCTGAGACTCGCCTATTAGTAGATCCAATGTACGTAGCTCTAAACCAGGGCGAAATCAGGACATAAACACAGCGTTCGTTACCGACACAAATATCGTGACCTCGATGAACTGAGTCAATCCAAACATCTGTAAACTCACGGCCCCAGTTAACCGCCCCGACGACAAACAACATTAGGACAAAAAATTTCATCATCGTTTTGAGGCGAAGGTACTGCTCCCCTTTCAAGTCACAACGTTTCCTCGCCTCGTGGATATCACAGGCTTGCTGCCATAGCCAGCCTRTGTCCCAAACAGACTTCAGGAGGGATCCTCTTCTTGCTCATCCTCTCCTGCGATGTYGKCATTGAGCAGYTCCTCATCCTYGTCTYCCTCGGYATCCCCATAAGCATCCCGCRTCCGTAGTTCGGCCAGTTCATTCRYTGYCTGCTTCTTGTTGATATACTTGATGTTGTCCTTCCTGCACAATACCTCCAAATCCGCCTTGTACTCTTTCAYCAGTTCCCTCTTCATATCKGCCAGATATTGCTTTCTCCCTTTCGGGCCCGCAGATGCTACCGCTAYYTTCTTCCCTTCCCRAACTCGRTCGAATCCGAGATTCGTARATCGAAYARCAGAGAACGATCCAGACATTCTCCTTGCATGACCAGCCACTGATGCAAAAACCTCGGCCAATCTTCCGGTTGGTCCGCTAKAAGAAGGCGTYCCATTGTTGCCAGCATCAGGATTGCTAATGCCAGTGTTGCCAGCGCYAGATCCGTTAGCATRTGCACGTGTTAGGGGTCGAGAGGGAGGGGGAGGGGGTGGTTGAGATGGAGGAGCTGGGGCACGGGCAAGCACCCGAACTRTCGGCGGAGAARGGGGAGGGGAAGGAGGACGGGAGGGAGGACGTGTTGGTGAGGATGGACGCGAAGATGGGCGGGACGGAGGCTGGCCGTAGTTCCGATCAGAAGGGGATGGGGGGCGTCCGTCGACAGGATTAGAGGGAGGGTGAAAGTGGGGGCGAGGAGGCGATGGAGGGCGCTGCTGAGGTGGAGGGGGAAAGTGGGGGCGAGGTGGCGATGGAGGGCGCTGCTGAGGTGGAGGAGTGGAGGCAGCACGTTGATGATGCGTAGGGGGAAAGGAAGTAGATCGATGATCATGGGAAGCATTGCCATGGTGCAATGGAGCATCGGGAGGAGGAACAGGAAACGAGGGTTGGCGGTTAGAAAACACAGGATGCTGCGGGGGAAAGGTAGAGCCCAGTTTTTCGAAAGCGGCCACCATTCGTTGCAGCATGGATTCCTGCGATCGCTGGAAGGACTCTTGTTCACGCTTGAGAGTATTGAAATTCAATAGTCGGAGTCTGGCATCAAGCGGACCCATAATTGCTTCAGGTTGCACCTTCTGTCGTCCGGCATCTGGTTGCAGCGGTGACCCACCCTGGAGTGCTTCTTGACCCCTCTTCTTCGCTTCATTGTCACCGATCTTAAGGCTCCCGTCTCGTGCCTTGGGCTTGTCCTCACTTGATCTCACGCCTCTTGATGCTATCTCCTTACCATTCGCAGGATGTCTTTTACCAACCACCGCGTCATCTTTCTTTCTCTCCATGGCCGCAAACTGTTCATCAAACAGTTTGACCATTCTTACGTCCCTGTCAGCCTCCTTCCTCTCATTCTCCTCTCGCCGCTTCTCCTCTTCTTCTTTTGCCTTTAGCATCTGCTCCTCTTTTTGCTTCTTGTCCTCTTCACACCTCCTCCTTTCTCGTTTTTCTCTGTCACTGTTCACAAGCTTTCGAAGCAGAGCAGCAATCTCGCCTTGGTTGCTCCTCATCGGATGGTTGTAACCCATGCCGCTGCCGATGTTCGTTCTAGGTTTGTACGGGACAATTGCATTTGCCGCTGAAGGTGCCGGCGAAGGAGACCTGGATCGCGGTACAACGACAACAGTATTGGAGGAGGACGCCATGTGTGTAGATTGAGGCACATGTAGAGGAGGAGCACTAGGTGCGTACTGTGGGTTAATCACTGGCGGTCTTCCGACTGGAGTACCAGAGATAAGACCATCACCTCGTCCGAGTAGCGGACAACGGGCAATGAAGTGCCCATACTGTTTACAATAATGGAAGCACCCGTACGGCATGGTACTTTCTGCCATCTTACCCTCGATCAGTCCAACAAATAAGACACTTGAATCCAAAGAAAAGACTAGACCGTAAGGGAAGAGAATCAGAGAGAGCAGGAGAGAGAGAGAGAGAGAGAGAGAGAGAGAGAGAGAGAGAGAGAGAGAGAGAGAGAGAGAGAGAGAGAGAGAGAGAGAAGGGAGGAGAGAGAAAAAAAGGAGAGAGAAGGGAGGAGAGAGAAAAGAGGAAGGAGGTGGGAGAGATGAGGAGTTGAAGCGGTTGCTGGGTAGCCGAAG